GGTTTACCCAGACGGCAACATCCTTTACAGCGTCAGGTAGATGCCTGCAACCTCTGATGATTCATTACTTCATATGTAATTTTTATTAATGGACTATTCTCTTTATTGTAGGATTACAGTTACTTCTCTGTGCTCAATGGACTTCAGTAGATTTCCACTGGACACTCAGAACTGTTCCCTGGAACTGGAGAGCTGTGCGTGTCCACCTAGAAACATCTTCAGTTCTTGTGTAATTTTTATTGAGTCCCACCTACATTGTTTCTTTTTTTTTTAGCTGATATTTTACAGGTTGGGAAAACATGGCAATTGTGGATCAATTGTGGATTCAAACTTGCAGCTTTTTAGACACCATTTAGAAAGTTAAGTAATGGTAATGGAAAGGTGCTTACAATGATAGTATATGGAGTAATGAAATAAATGTTAGAATATGTACTATTGTGAAAGTATAGCAGCACGACTTAAACATGATATTTGCTGGCATGAGACAAGTGCTTCCCGACATTTTCTGTTCAGGGTCTTTTAAATGTCACGTGAAGCCTGTAAACCTAGCAACTTTTCACTTTTAATTATTAGTATCAAATAACTAGAAAAAAGGTAGTTCCATTCCAAAAATGATGATTTATAACTTTACAAATTTACAATATGATACACATAATAGCAGTAAAATCATTGTGAATTGCTAGTGCAACCTATTTCTTCACATAATGTCACATAAAACTGAGTGAAACAGGATATTTATCAAGAAAAATGTCTGTTACTTAGTGTTATGTTTGTATTATTATTATATTTATAAATGTTGAATTGGCTTTTATTTTAAATTTTCGGTTTTCATTTATTTTTTTTTATTTTTTTTTTTAGTTTAGTTTTGTGCTTTTGCCTTTTTTTAAATCTTTTTTTTAATAGTTTTAGTTTTAGTTAATGACAACATCACTGTTACTTACTAGAGCAAATGCTAGCGTTTTAAAATTACATTTAAAAATAGCTATATTTATGCAGGCTACTTTTAAACCCATTGAGTACATGGACCCATTTCATTTTATTGTATGTGCCTCGCTACAACTGCCTATTTTGAATCGGATGAGGACCGATTTGGAATGACTTTCTTCAGGAACCAACATTATGCCACAAATGCTGTTTGAATCCAGAACATTAATGAAATGGTGCCATAATAGCACACTTCAAATTATCCATGTATATGAACATGAATTGAACAGGGCGCACAATCTTTTGCCTCTTTTCTTCATATTTTGGCTTCTCTCCTGTATCCCATTCAGATGCATATGCTGAGAACGACCTCATGTTGTACTGGAAAAATGGTAATGACTCTTTAAGGACAGATGAGATTGCCCTCTCTCAGTTCTTCATTGAAGAGTTTCACCCCTCACATGGTCTGGCACTGTACAGCAGCACGGGTATGGCACGCTTTCCTCTCTCTCCTTCTGTGTATTTATACTATGACAAATCTTATCTCTTTGTCCTGTTTGGTAATATACCAGTAGGTCATTAATTCCTGACTTTACACGTGTTTCTGTCAGGCTGGTACAACAGGCTCTACATCAACTTTATCCTCAGGAGACATATATTCTTCTTTATGCTGCAAACATATTTTCCTACAATGCTGATGGTTGTGCTGTCCTGGGTGTCTTTTTGGATCGACAGGTGGGCGGTACCGGCCCGTGTGTCGCTTGGTGCGTAACACATATCCAAACACATGCAATGGTGGAAATGTTAGTTCAAAAACTGCTCAGAAATGGTTCTTCTATGGGATCACTGTGAAAACGCCCTTTTGGAACCTCTATTTTTAATGTTGTTGGACTACAGCCCAGTGTGGGCTGGTGAAGGTTTAGGTTGCTTAGTTGTCTCTTAGTTGCTTACCAAAGTCGAAATGTTTTTCCCAAGACGATAAGAAATAAACCTGCACAAATGTGATTTAGCCAAGTAGGACATGGTCCTGGATCAACAGAAAATGCATTTGTCACTCTCGTTTATAACCAAACTATGTGTGAGTGCAACCGTGTTTTTCACATGAAAACAGTACTGACATGTGTAATCTGCTGCTGTGTGAACGTAGCCTTCACACTGGGTAGCTCCGCCCATTATGAAATCTCATGGGTCCAATATCCTACAAAATGTGTTCTGATTGGCGGTGATTGTTAGTGATAGTGTCACAGAAGTTTCACACTTTTTCTTTCACCGTCACTGGCCCTAACATCTGATTGGTTGGAAAGAATCAACAAGTATGTTGATCTAGACAGCACCTCATTTTGTAACTTTGTAAATCAGTCTAAATGTGCAGTCACATTAGCAAAATTTCTTGGGCTGAAAAGATCAATTGTCTAGTGCCAATTGTGTAATGATGCTTTAAGCATAGCTCACTCAGAAGTCACTTTCAAACCAAGCAGCTTTCTGTTGGTCAACGTGGCCAAAAGAACCTGTTGAGAAATCTGTGTAAGGAAATCTTTTGCCATTTCAAAAAATTCCCAGTTGTGTGGATTCTTATTGAAATGACTGGATTTCAACATCTGAACTGCATTTCAATTATCTGAACAATGATAAATATGACTGCATCAGAGTACAGTAAAATCAGATGTGTGTCTCTCTGCATGTGTTCAATCCAGGCATCACTACAGTGTTGACTATGTCCACCATAATTACGGGAGTGTCAGCGTCCATGCCTCAGGTATCATATGTGAAAGCAGTGGACATCTATTTGTGGACTAGTTTCCTGTTGGTGTTTCTGTCCGTCATCGAGTACGCAGCTGTCAACTACTTCACTACTAAGGAGGAAATGAAGAAACTCGAGCAATTAAAGGTCAAAGTTCCCTTAAACATCCTAAGTTTTTCAATTCATTCACTCTAAACTTCATTAAAATTTTCAATATTTTCGGTGTAATGATGCATTCTCTCGACATAGCAAGAAAAAACAGCAAAATATCAAAATGTCTCCCCCTGTTGATCAAATATGGTAATCTCTCAATAAATGCAAAATAAAAATAATAAATTGAAAATGGACTTAAGACAGCATAAAAAAAATGCTTTTTAATAAATAAATATAAAATATATTTTTAAATCTGATATATTTTTATCCACACTGTCAAGTTCCAAAAGGACAAAAAAAAAAAAAAAAAAAAAAAAAAAAAAAAAAAAAAAAAAAAAAAAAAAAAAAAAAAAAAAAAAAAAAAAAAAAAAAAAAAAAAAAAAAAAAAAAAAAAAAAAAAAAAAAAAAAAAAAAAAAAAAAAAAAAAAAAAAAAAAAAAAAAAAAAAAAAAAAAAAAAAAAAGTAATCCATATTAATCATGTGCAATATAATTCCTAACCTATATGATAGCTGTCTGTGAACGGAACAAAATTTGAGTGATTATTCATGGGTAATCTTGATTTAAATAATTAATATATCTCAAATATGGCCCTTGTGGACCTGAATAACATCAAAATGTCTTTGGTCCTTGATCATCAGACCTCTGCCATAGACATTTTTTATTTTGGAGCAAGAGAATTTACATTTTTTTGGTGCACTATTTCTTGAACGTCCAATATATTGTATTTTAAAAAATCGTACCACATAAATTCCTGAAAAAGTTAATTGTTTTTGTGTCCTACAGCTCTCGGGATACGATGCATCTCAAGCCATGGCGTTTGACGGCTGCTTTCATGACGAGGACATAGAGCTCAGCGCATTTCCACTCTCTGACCTTAACACTGACACATGCATGTCCTCCCAGAACTCCACAACACCCGACCTCCCTCCCGTCCTGGGCATGCGCCTCCGTCGGCGGCGTTCTATCCGCCAAAGTGTCAACCATATCATGAGCAACAGTTACAAGATCGACTCCTATTCCAGAATATTCTTTCCTTTGGCATACGTTCTCTTCAATGTCATCTACTGGAGCATCTACTCCTAAAGCGAGAGAGAATGTTATCCAGAAAACCGGCTCTGAGTTTATAAGACAAAATACACTTTGACTGCTTGAATGTGATCACATGCCACAGTGATAAAATTCAAACTCTCTCACACACACACACGAAACTGTATCACAGACAAAAATATATAAATAATTTGTTAGAATCTGATTTCTCACTCTACCTAAAATGCACAAATGGGAAATTTTAATAAATTCATAAAACTACAAAATGTTTACATTTATTTATTCATTTATTTATTTATATATATATCAATCAAAACATGATAAACAATTTTACTATTATACTATATTTTGCCTAAACAGAACCCTTATACTACTCAAAAATAATTTCAAACAAATGCTGTTTTATACAGTACACAGAAAGCGCATTTGATTACATGTAACGAAGTTGTGATACATTAGCATATTAACTTCATATTTCCTCCTTATATGAGAATTACAAAACTGAGAATGACTATAAAATGTGGAAAAACTAATAAACACCTATATGGACAATGGACATATCTCAGTCTTTCTACAGCATGTCTGACAGATGTATATGGTTTTTAAGACAGAATTTAAGATTTAAGAGAAATCCCCCTTTTTTCATTCATTTTAAATGTAGTCCTACATCTATTATAAAACATTTTTTTAAGTACTATTTGATGCACTTGCATCATCTTAGCTTTATTTTATTATTTATTTATTTGCAGAAGAGTTGTTTAATACTGTTTGTTGAAAATATATAGGAGTTTAAAACCCTTGACGCTGCAAAAGCAAAATATACCATTTCCTCATTTCTCAGTACATGGAGATACTTTTATGCATTGACTCCCATAGGTACATGCTCTTGCTACTCATTACTCAGCTGTGAGCAGCCTGATTCAATAACCAATAACAAAATGTCTGGCTATAAAGCTGAAAGCCTTACTGCATGTAACATTCATTCAGACAAACTGATGACAAAAGACATTTGTTTTCGAGCTGAGTCACTAGATTCTCATCTTGGTAATAAATTTTTTTCAGGCATGACAGAAACAGAATATTTAGTGGTCTGTTTCTTCACGTAGAGTCCTGTCTGCGTTTATAATCCTCTTCTAAAAGCTATTCAGATCTGAATCGTGGACGGATTTGACTGTTCATCTCATTGAGGACCACGTCGTCATTCAGTTCCCCTGATATGATCAGACTGTCATCCATTGGTGAGCCTGTAATGTGAAATTAAAGAGTTAAAAACAGTCTTGACTTGTATAAAATGCCTTTGCACATTTCTTGCCAGAACAGACCGATGCCTTGGGACGGCACTGAGTCATCGCTGCTCACTGAGCTTCGAGGTCCACTGTGGATCCCTGAATCTGCCGTCACAATCGAAGTCTTTTTAGTGTGGTTGCTCTTTGTGGCTGTCTGACTCCACTCTACAGAAAAAAAAAACATTTGAGAGGTTGAAAGGAGACACACATAAAACATCTATTAAAGGTAATCTGCAGCTAGTTTTTAGTTTGGTCAGTAATGTGGCGATACCTGAATTTTCAGCCAATCGTAAACTGCCACAGCAGAGGTATATTCTCCACTGTTTACGGACATTTTCCTTCAGAGCGCAGTGGAAAATAAAAATTAAAAATCCTGAGAGAGAAAGAGAACAATCAAAAAAAAAGACCCTTTTTCCATCAATTGACCACGGTACTTGCATTACACTAAAAAAAACTATACTTCCAACTCTATTATGTAGACGTTTTGAATAAAAGAAAAAAACAATACCATTGTTTCTCACCCTGTAGGGAATTTAAAATGGTAAACATGTACGTGAAGGCCAAATGGACAGGTCCCCATGCGAAGAAGGCGAAGCCCCATGTAAGCCCGAGCAGGAAAGTGAGTCCCGTAACGCTACGTAGGTCATGCAAGCTGCTGCGATACTGATTATTGTGAGGGTTTCGGCGCTTGATTCGTCTCAGATGGATCATCACCACCACAAACATGGCCAGGTTCAACACAAATATGATGCAAAAGTATGCCACAACAGCCACGTAGAACGTTATGTTATTGTTCAGCCAACAACTAAAAGAGAGAAATATAGAAACATTAGGAGCGATGACATGATGAAGACTGATACCTTTAAATGATGAGCTGAATACTTACAAATCATTAGTTCCATCAGAAAATCGGCCATAGTTCTCTTTGTTTACCGCAATCACAATAATGACAACAACCAAAGGGACTCCTGCAAGAGCACATCATGAAATTAAATCAGGAATCATCTACAGCCACAAACCACATGGCTAATTTAGCAGCTGAACTCACCCCAGCCTACCAGGGAAAATTTTAGCATGTATCTGGACATGAAGTTGTTGAAGACTTTGACGATGGCCAGGTACATATGCAGAGCCTCCAGCCCCATCCAGGTGAAGGAGACCAACAGGAAGTAGTGCAGGAAGAAAGCTGTGGAAATGCACAGGCCTTCAGCATCTCGGTACAACGCCATCCACGAGTCCAACAAGAACACCAGGTTCAGCAAAAGCAGGCTGAAACACAAATGGATCAAGATCTTTGAAGGGATGTCACGTCGGATTTTGCTGAAATGAAACAGAAGAAATGGTAAATAAATGTTATTTGGGTATTACAGATGGAAGTTCATTTTTGTTTACAGTTGAGAATAGTTTTGTCGCATTTTATAAGATATATCACAGAGGTTTTTGATTAATCTCATTTTAGGGCTTATAAACACTGAGAAGGAGGATGTTACTCACTCAAATGCGAGGTAGGTGAGCAGAGTAACCGAGAGAAAGATGGCGGACACCCCACATCCGATGTAAGTGATGAAGTTAAGGATTTTGTCCTGTAAATCAGGTAATCTTTGCTGGCTAATGTCCTTTAAAGACAAAAGTTGCAAAAGATTAATGAAAGCTTTGTACTGTACAACAATCCCAGAGATGTGTAATGTATAGCTAATCCAGGGCTTAAAAATAAGGATGGCCAGTTTAAAGTATATGGTACACTACCTGTTTGTTTATTTATTTATCCCCCCCCTCCAAATTGTTATTTTAGGGTCAGTAAGAATTTTTGAAAGAAATTCAAACTTTTATTCAGCAAGAATAAATCAAAAGTGACTGTAATATTGTACATTTTTTATGTTTCAAATAAATTCTGTTCTTTTTAACCTTCTATTCAAACAATCCTTAAGCAGCACAATTGTTTTCAACATCGATAACAATACGAAATGTGTCTTGAGCACCAAATCAGCATATTATGATTTCTGAAGGATTAAATAACTCTGAAGACTGAAAATTCAGCTTTGTCATCACATGAATAAAGTACCTATATTAAAATAGAAAATAGTTATTGAATTAGTAATAATATTTCATAATATTACTGGTTTTCCTGCTGCTTTGATCAAATAAATGCAGCCTGGGTGAGCATAAGAGACTTCTTTTAAATCTCACTGATTTATAGTATATACAGTTTATGTATGTGTATTCCTGACAGTTATAAAAATGTTTAAAAAAAAATGAGTAAAGCTAAAAAAAAATTTATTTTTAAATGTTGCTGAAAAATGTAAGTGAAAATGTTGGCAGGCCAAATAAAAATCCAATGTTGAGGCCTGTGCTCATCACTCTTTGTGCTCCGTGTATTTAGATATCAAGCATCTTTCTGACTTAATAAATGTTCATTAGACATGATGTGAAACGCTAATTAGATAAAAGATGTGGACATTTCTGCAGAAAATCCCACACACTGGCATACTTACCAGTAGTACAGCAAAGCTTGTCAGGTGATTGCAGCTGCAGATGGTTTCATTCTCGGTGCTGTTCTTGACATAGCAGCCATTGCGATTCCAGCCTCCTAAACCTCCTAGAAAATCCAAAACACATAGTAATTAAAAGACATTGATTAAGACATTAGACAGATCACACATTTCATTAGGTCTAATAACAGTTTCTCAGGAGTTCCTGGAGGTGTGTAATCTCACCGTTTTGGTGAAAGTCCCAGAATACACAGGAAGCTACATAGTTCCCCTGTGGGAAAGGAGTTAAGGAAGCGATAGATCAGACAGTTTTCAGCTGGCAGTGAGATATGATGTACAGTAAACATGTTAGCACACACACCGGAGGCTGCTTATTCCTCAGAGTAAACTCAACATTCTCCCTCAGCTTTTTGATTGACAGGTTAGCCACACTAGAGCCCAGAATGTGGCTGTTCAGCATATGTTGACTCAGGTTTTTATCCTGTAGATAGATGCAAAATCAAAGAATCAACTGATGAGGCAGATTCATATCTGTAAGCTTTATTTCGGAAAATGTTATCCGGTCAGTGTGGGGTGTCTGCTGTGGTGCTTTTGCATCCTTTGAAGCTTTAATACACGGTAATGGGAAAAGACAGAATGACACGAAGGTGAATAATTATTGACAGAATTTTCAGTTTTCTGTAAACTATTGCATTTAATCTGAGGGCAATTGGTTTTCTGAAAATGTTATGTACAAACATTGTTCAGTGCTGCCACCTTAAATGTAAAACTCCAATCAACCCAGTTTTACCTGAAAAAATGTGCTTTTCTGAAAGAAAGTGAACTGGACTCTAGAAGCTATCTTCTTTTCTTCTGGAGAGAGGTTCTCTGTCAGGGACGCAGGTAGTGTTATTTTGGCCAGAGGGGAGGAACTTTCCACTGCCCTGACTTGTCTCTGAAGTCCTTTTGTGACCTGTATAACCAGAAATATAAACACCAAATTTTGAGTGTGACTTCCAAAAACATCCTAAATGTTAACGGATTGCTTTGGACTTCAGTTGTTATAACCTGTGGGTTTAAGGGATCTGCAATTGAGAATGATGTTGTCCCAAAGTTGCTCCCATCAACTTTGGTCACAGTCAAAGCGAGTGAATCAAATGCGATGTTTTCAGTCTGGTCGTGAATCACAAGTTTCAGACCCAAATTATCCACAGCTTTGATTAATCTACAAAGCACAATACATTATTTGCATAAAATTTTCAGGTTTCAGACATTGAATGCTTGTGTTGCACATGTATCTCACCGGTTAGAGGAGGCAGCCATAGTATCTGTAGAGCTGTTAAGAAAGTTGTTGATGACGGACAGCACTGTTCGGCCTAGATCCAGACTAATGTTGGGTGCGGAGATAAGATTCTCTAGCTGGCTGACCAGCTGATTGACCTGAGTTGAGTTTAAAGATGCCACATTCTGTGTTTGATTCAGAAGATTGCTAGCCACTGCATCTGGGCTTTTAGTTGTTGCCTCTGAAAAATGAACAAAAATAAATGAGCTGTTGTTGTAGATATGGCATGTAAATATACAGTGGCACCAAAACATATTTTGATAGTGAATTTCATTGCATTAGATACAAATTAACAAGCGGCATCTGCAAACTAAAGCTTGCTAAAGCTGTTCTTTAATTATTTAATGTAATTCAGTGGGATCCAATGATGTTCGGACTCCATAGATTTTCATGATATGATCAAAGAAAAAACATTGAGACATTGTTCAAAGTATAATTTTCAGTTTTCCACTGAAGGAAAAGGTTTGGAACATGTGGTCAAGTAAATTATTATTTTTGAGTAAACTATTTATTTTAAGTTTGACTTAAGTGTTTCAGTACTTTTTTCTGATGTGGATGCGTGAACCTAGAAAAGCATTTATATTTGGAATTTTGAGTCAAGAAACTAGAGTCAGTTTTGGAATGTTGAGTCGAAATATAGTCAAACCTGAAGTGGTTGCAGGTGTTGTTGGCACAGCTGGAACGGCAGGCCTTGTAGTGACTGTTGTTGTGTTGCTTTTACTAGTTGTTGGAGTTGGAGCAATAATTGGAGCTTCTGTTGTGGAAGTGGAGCTGTTCTGAGAGCTTGGATGCGTCACTGATAGAGCAGTTGTGGAATCTGTACTGCTATTTGTGATAATGCTAATAATGGTAGTACCGGTATTTGTTGGTATGTTGTTCGGAATGCTAATTGGATTTGTTGTTGTAGTTGTGTTAGTAATTATATTTTCAGTAAAGGTATTTTCTATTGTACCATTTGACTGTGTTGTGTTAAGGAGACTAACTGTTTTGACAGGCTCGGAAGTGGAGTTGGTTGGCCCACTGGTAATATTTTCTGTTGTTGGAAAGGTTGTTGTATGTATCTGTGTTGTGTTTGTGATATCAAACGGTGTTGTATTAACTGCAGGGCTTACTGTTGTGTTAAATTCTGATGTGCTATTGGAGGTCTCTGTTGTGTTGATGCTACGATTGACATCAGTCCCATTGAAATTGGTTACATTCAATGGCACATCTGTTGTTTTAAACAAGGCTGTGTTCATTGTAAAGGCTGTTGTATTTGATTGTGTTGTATTGAACAGGGGGTCTGTTATGTTGGAATAAGTTACATCAGTTGTATTAAAAGTTGTGAAGGTAAATGAATACATTGTTGTATTGAATTCTGGTGTATCTGTAGTGGTATCAGTTTCAGCATCATTGGTCTCCAGTGTAGAATTATTCAGAAGTTGTGTTGAGTAATAAGGAATGGCTGTTGTATTGAATTCAGTTGTACTGTCAAGAGGATGAGTTGTGTTTGATTCATTTACATTACTTGGTGATTCTGTAGAGTGGGCTAGGATTGTATTATTTGAGGGTGTTGCATCTTCATATAGAGTGGTTGTGTTATATTGTGTAATATGTGGGTATTGTGTTGTGGTATTTAAGACAGAAGAGCTCGCATTTAAATATGTTGTGTTTTTGTGGTTCTGAGTCATTTTAAGTGTTCCGTTAAACTCTGTCACATTAAATATTGATAAATCTGTACTATTTTCTATGAAAGTTGTTACATTGTGAGTGAATAATGTAGTGTTAAATACTTTTGTGTTGTCTTGCCCAGTAGTGTTCAAATGTGTTGTGAATGTGGTGGTGTGTTGTGTAGTGTTTAATGGGGGTGTTGTTGCATTTAGGTGTAATGTGCTTTGTGATGGTATTGTCAAGTTAAACAGTGTTGTATTTGGCGGAAAAGTTGTGGTGGTGGTGAACCCTACACCAGAGATTTGAGAACTACTTGTGTTAGATTGTGTCACATTTTCCACAGTTTTGGATGTGAAAGTTGAGTTGAGAACTGTCACTGTTGTATTGAATGGCGTGACTGTTGAATGATGTAGTGCAGTTGTGTTTAGTGGCATGGCAGTAGTAAAGCGAGGTGTGACTGTTGCATTTATTGGTCTAACTGTTGTAGTAATTGTTTCACTTATTTGTCCCGATGTATTAAGTGGTGTTGCTGTTTCCACGTCAGAAGGTGGTATAGCTGTTGTAATGAGTGGCATACCTGTTGTATTAACAGTGATTGATGTGTTGAGAGTTGTTGTACTTTTATCAAGTGTTGTGACTGTCGCAGCAATTGTGTCAAGTGATGTGGCTGTTGTACTGACTAGAGGAGTTGTTGAACTGAGTCTTGTGACAGTTAGGTTGAGTGGTGTGACTGTTGTATTGACTGGATATGTTAAATTGCGTACTGTAACTGTTGTATTGACCGGTGGGGTTGTTATATTGAGTGCTATATCTGTTGTACTGACAAATGAGTTTGTTATATTGTGTGTACCTGTTGTGCTAACTGGTGAGGTTGTTATATTAGGTGTTGCATTTGTTGCACTGACCAGTAATATAGTTATATTGTGTTGGATACCTGTTGTATGGACCAGTGAGGCTGTTACATTGAGTGTTGTATCTCTTGTACTTGTCGGTGAATTTGTTATATCAAATGTGGTTTCTGTTATTTTGACTGGGGTTGTTATATTGTGTGTTGGATCTATTGTATGGACCAGTGACGTAGTTATATTGTGTGGTGTACCTGTTGTGTTGACCGGTGAGGTTGTTATATTGAACATAATATTTATTGTACTGACCGTTGGAGTTATGTTGAATGTGGCTTCTGTTGTATTGGCTGGTGGGGTTGTTATATTGTGTGTTGTATCTGTTGCACTGACCAATGTGTTTGCTACACTGATTGTTTTATCTGTTGTATGGATCAGTGAGGTTGTTAAACTGAGTGTTGTTTCTGTTGTTTTGACTGGTGAGGTTGTTATATTGTATGGTGTACCTGTTGCGCTGACTAGTGGGGTTGTTATATTGTGTGTCATATTTGTTGTACTGACCGGTGATGTTGGTATATTGTTTGAGGTACCTGTTGTTTTGACTTGTAAGGTTGTTATATTGTTTGATGTAGCTGTTGTGCTGACAGGTGGGGTTGCTATATTGTGTGGTGTACTTGGTGTATTGATCGTTTGAGTTGCTACATTGAGTGTTGTATGCGTTGTACTGACCATTGAGGTTGTTATATTGTGTGATGTGCCTGTTGTATGGACAGGTGAGGTTGTTAAATTGAGTGTTGTTTCTGTTGTTTTGACTGGTGAGGTTGTTATATTGTTTGATATAGCTGTTGTACTGACAGGTGGGATTGTTATATTGTGTGGTGTATTTGCTGTATTGACCGGTTGAGTTGTTACATCGAGTGTTGTATGTGTTGTACTGACCATTGAGGTTGTTATATTGCCTGTTGTATTTGCTGTATCGACCAGTTGAGCTGTTACATTGAGTGTTGTATGTGTTGTACTGACAGGTGGGGTTGTTATATTGTCTGTTGTATCTGCTGTGCAGACCGGTTGAGCTGTAATATCGAGTGTTGTATGTGTTGTACTGACCGTTGAGGTTGTTATATTGTCTGTTGTATCTGCTGTGTAGACCAGTTGAGTTGTTACATCGAGTGTTGTATGTGTTGTACTGACAGGTGGGGTTGTTATATTGTCTGTTGTATCTGCTGTGTAGACCGGTTGAGTTGTTACATCGAGTGTTGTATGTGTTGTACTGACCATTGAGGTTGTTATGTTGTCTGTTGTATTTGCTGTATCGACCGGTTGAGCTGTTACATCGAGTGTTGTATGTGTTGTACTGACCATTGAGGTTGTTATGTTGTCTGTTGTATTTGCTGTATCGACCGGTTGAGCTGTTACATCGAGTGTTGTATGTGTTGTGTGTTGTATGTGTTGTACTGGCCGTTGAGGTTATATTGTCTGTTGTATCTGCTGTGTAGACCGGTTGAGTTGTTATATCGAGTGTTGTACTGACCATTGAGGTTATATTGTCTGTTGTATCTGCTGTGTAGACCGGTTGAGTTGTTACATCGAGAGTTGTATGTGTTGTACTGACCGTTGAGGTTATATTGTCTGTTGTATCTGTTGTGTAGACCGGTTGAGTTGTTATATAGAGTGTTGTATGTGTTGTACTGACCGTTGAGGTTGTTATATTGTCTGTTGGATCTGCTGTGTAGACCGGTTGAGTTGTTACATCGAGTGTTGTATGTGTTGTACTGACCGTTGAGGTTGTTATATTTTGTGATGTGCCTGTTGTATGGACTGGTGAGGTTGTTATATTGAGTGTTGTTTCTGTTATTTTGACTGGTGAGGTTGTTATATTGTATGGTGTACCTGTTGCGCTGACTGATGGGGTTCTTATATCATGTGTACTTGTACTGACCGATGATGCTGGTATATTGTTTGATGTACCTGTTGTGACAGGTGAGGTTGTTATATTGTGTGTTGTAACTGCTGTATTGACCGGCTGAGGTGTTACATCAGTTGTTTTATTTGTTGTACTGACCATTGAGGTTGTTATTTCATGTGGTATACTTGCTATATTGACTGCTGGTCCTATATTGAGTGTTGAATTGAGTGGCAGGCTTGCTGTATAATGTGACACAGTGTTTGTTCGAGTGACTGTACTGTTGATTGATGTATTGGTATTAAGTGGTGTATTAGAAGTGTTTGTGATAGATGGTGTGACTGCAGTGAGGGTTTGGTTGGTCAGTGACCACTCTGTAGTTACTGACGGAGAAGTGATGTTTGGGAATGTAGCACTGCTCTCAGAGCTTGTTCTAGGAGGGACAGCTTGAGTTGGGTAGGACTCAGAAGGTGAGACTTCACAGCTCTCATTTAAAATAACAGCAAATGTCTGACCCTGTGCACTGAGAAACAAAGAGCAAGATTGGAAAGTTTGTTTGAAAAAGGTTTTTGTTAGTCCTGAAACAACATTCTTGTCAAACAAATAATCCTAACCATTATATACTGCTAAAATGAGGAAATGATAGGTTGATAAGAATGTTGTTCAAAACCACAAATCCAGTACTAAGCCTGAAGCTGATATCTGATTGGTTGACAGGAATGCTGTTCTAGGACTAACACTAAAGCCACATTAAATGGCTATGTTCACACTGCCAACAGTTCTGATTTGCTTTTTGTTTGGACTGGTGTTTAATCATTAATCATTCAGTTTGGAATATAGTTTGAATGTTTTGTAAAAAATAAAATTCGATTTGAATTTGATATCCAGAAATTTTGATTTTCAGTGTGAATATAGCCCATGAGACATGGAAATATATTAACTGAAATGTGAATAATTGAAATTTGATACAAATGTGGAGTATGCACAGTGAAAAATATGGACTAAATACAAGATTTACCATTTCAAACTGTCTTTGATGTCATCAGTGTGGCTGGAACTGAAATTTACAGACATCCAAGTGAATGTTGAGTTCAAAGGAATGGTTTCCGAATCAGTGGGCAAATTACATATGGCTGTATAGTAGAGAGAATAAAAAATAATTGCATTTTTACTGTTTACACCACTTGGATAAGCTGTAATTGGGGAATACCAGTACATACAGTTCAACACTCACCTATTCGACTGAGAGGTCCATCAAAACTAATGTTGGTACTGTCCTTCCAAAGAACGGCAATAGCAGTACTAACAGTACACACATCCAGCTCGTTTGAGAGCTGCAGAGTTATCATACACGTGTAGAGCCTGAGGAATGACAGACAGGTTAAGCTGTCTGTAAATGCATGCAGACACACATAAACACACACGACAGTACAACTTACCTTGTTCCTTCACCAAAACATTCCAAGTGCATTCCCTGCAAAGTATCAATCACAGCCTTTTATAGCAGATACAGAAAACAAGATTTGACCCACTTATTATTTACAAGATTATTTTACTGAAGATGGAAATAAATGGATGTTTACCTGATACAACTGGGATACTTTAGTAAAAGAATTACACAGAGACCTATGAACATGAAACATGACCAACCATAAAGAAAGTGTATAATAATAATAATAATAAAGTTTCATATATATGCACAATCATTAAAAAAAAAGTTTGACCCCAATATTTTGTATTTATGTTATTTTTGACAGAAATTGCAGACATACCCTTGCATTCCGGAGTCGTTGCAGGGAGTGCTCAACTGTATAACCTATTGGATGGAACAATAGAACTAATAAGACAATAACCGTATTTTGTCATTCATTGAGGTAAAACACTATTGTAACTTGCCAATCTTTATATAGCAGTGTTTTGGTAAAAGACTTACTAAAGGCATTTTACCTGTTTGCAAGAATTGTTTCTCTAAAAACTCACCATGTCCTGAACGTAGGGGAAATTCACATCTGGGCTTCTAATATTTAGACGAACAGCATAATATGTCTCTAAAACAGAGGTAGAAGAGAGAGCTTGGAGTCTGATTGGTCCATGACACGTGCTTGTACCTACTCTTACATAGAACAATAATGTTCCTCTCACCGTTGTTGGTAGACACATGACACTCACAATGTTGTTGGTTCTCAACTAAAAAAAACAAACTTTCATTTTTGAATATGATACTGGTATTAGTCAGAAAATGAGGACCAAATAGTAAGTCCAAAGAGTAATAACACTCACCGTTGCAGGATTGATTAGCAACCAAGTCTTTAGGAACGAAGCCATTTTCCTTATAAGAACTAATGCAAGAAAGAGCGAACATTGGGAAATGAGTAATACAAACTCACATAAATATTATAAACACTAAAAATGTCAAAATTGCTTGCTGCAGGACTAATTTAAGAGTGTGGCAAGTCTTTAATCAGTAGCATATCCTACCATGTGACATTGACAAGCCCCTGGGTCTTGCAGAAATCATCATAAGTCATTGGAGCTGTGCAGTGCACTAAACCATCTCCAGGGGGCGAATTATTGTGCTCTGGGCACAAGCCTTTACCTATAAACAAAAGCCATTCAGTGAGACTTCAAAAACGAACAATTAATCATGAATCATTTTTTAAACTGCTGTCTGTGATTGTTATATGATCAAATGGGCCACTTTTATTATGCTTTTAAGGTGCCTTTTGTCATTTTGAAGCAAAGAGCCAGTCTGCATTCACTTTCACGTAAATTATGACAGAATTTTAATTTATGTGTGAACTATCCCTGAATACTGAATCTGAGTTACTTAATCAAGCCCATATTTATGTGTTTGTCTCACTCACCCACTCTTTCTACATCTCCCAGAAGCTGGATCTGGATTGATGGGTTTACAGTCCCATTTTGCACCAGCCTTCGGAGGATGCACATATTCACAGGTTGACTCAGCTGTAGCAGCACAGTGCAGTTTGTCCTTCTGTAATTATTACAGTAGCAGTGTTACTTGATGTTGAAATACAATGAAATCATACTTGTTGTGTAGCTTAGAGATTTAGGTTTGACTTACTGGATGTTCTGCTTGGCTTCACATCTAACCTCAGCAGTCTATATTAATGAAAAATACATTTTATAATGATGCAGTGTTGGACAACATCAAAGTTCAGCCCTGACCTGTTCTTTGAAAACAAGTGATACTTACCACAAAAACTATGTCAGTTTGGCATGATGTTGTATTGATACCTTTTGTTGAAACTCCAGCAGAACAGGTGCTTTTATTAAAAAGATCTGAAAACTGATTATAGAGGGGGGAAGGATCAGGAATTTGTTTAAAATTAAAAAAGAAAAGAAAAGAAAAACCCTTTATTTTATAAAATACCCTTTAGTTTCTAAAATAATTATACAACACAAAAATATTATTAAATATTATTATTAATATTACGGGACCCATTATATACAGTGCTGCTTAAAAGTTTGTGAACCCTTTTCGAATTTTCTATATTTCTGCATAAACATGACCCAAAAGATCATCAGATTTTCATGCAAATCCTGAAAGTTGACAAAGAGAACCCAATCAAACAATTAAGACAAAAATATATACTTTGTCATTTATTTTTTCTAGAAAATTATCCAATATTGCATATCTGTGCGTGGTATGTGAATCTCTAGGATTAGCAGTTAATTTGAAGGTGAAATCAGAGTCCATCTGTTCAGAGTTGTTTTCAATCAATGGGATGACTATCAGGTGTCAGTGTGTGCCCTGTTTTATTTAAAGAACAGGGATCTAATAAAGTCTGATCATGTTTGTGGAAGTGGATCACGGCATTAACAAAGGAGATCTCTGAGGACCTCAGAAAAAGAGTTGCTGTTGCTCATCAGGCTGGACAAGGTTACAAAACCATCTTTAAAGAGTTTGGACTCCACAAATCCACAGTCAGACAGATTATGTACAAATGGAGGAAATTTAAGACCACTGTTACCCTCCCCAGGAGTGGTCGACCAACAAAGATCACTCTAAAAGCAAGACGTGCAATAGTCTGCGAGGTTGCAAAGGACACCAAGGTAACTTCTAAGCAACTAAAGGCCTTTCTCACATTGGCTAATGTTAATGTTCATGTGTTTACCATCAGGAGAACACTGAACAACCATGGTGTCCATGGCAGAGTTGCAAGGAGAAAGTTTGCTAAAGATCATGTGGACAAACCAGACGACTATTGGAGAAAGGTTTAATGGACGGATGAGACCAAAATAGAAATTTTGGGTTTAAATGAGAAGTGTTATGTTTGGAGAAAGGAAAACACTGCATTCCAGCATAAGAACCTGAAACATGGTGGTGTTAGTATCATGGTTTGGGCCTGTCTGCTGCATCTGGGCCAGGATGGCTTGCCATCATTGATAGAACAATGAATTCTGAATTATACCAGAAAATTCTAAAAGAAAATGTCAAGACATCTGTCCATGAACTGAATCTCAAGAGAAAGTGGTTCTTGCAGCAAGACAACAACGCCAAGCAAGTCATTTTACCAAAGAATGGTCAAAGAAGAACAAAGTTAATGTTTTGGAATGGCTGAGTCAAAGTCCAGACCTTAATCCAATTGAAATGTTGTGGAAGGATCTGAAGCAAGCAGTTCATAGGAGGAAACCCATAACATCACAAGAGTTGAAGCAGTTCTATACTGAGGAATAGGCTAAAATTCATGCAAGTCGTTGTGTAGGACTGATCAGCAGTTGCAAGAAAAGCTTAGCAGCAGTTATAGGTGCAAAAGGGGGTCAAACCAGATACTGAAAGCAAAGATTCATATACTTTTGCCACTCACAGATGTGTAACACTGGATCATTTTTCTCAATAAATAAATGACAGAGTATATATTGTTGTCTCAGTTGTTTGATTGGGTTCTCTTTGTCTACTTTCAGGAATTGCGTGAAAATCTGATGATCTTGTGGGTCATATTTATGCAGAAATATAGAAAATTGTCAAGAATTCACAAACTTTCAAGCAGCACTATGTGTGCGTGTGTGTGTATATATATATATATATATATATATATATATTATTATTATTATTAAAAATAAAACTGCTCATACCCAAATCTGAATCTCTCCCTCTGTCATATTAGAGCCATTCACCTCCACAAGCATCCAGTAGTATGATGCTGTGACGTAAGAAGAGAGATATTATTACACATCTCCAGGAATCACCACTTTTAATCTAAATGATGTCGTCTGAGAATAAAATAGGCTTTGTCTAAAAATGTTTTCTTTCTTACATTCATTAGCACAGTACTGGGAAAAGTTACACTGTACGGCAAAGGGCTCTGAAACAAATGAAAAGACACATCAAAGCATTGAACCATTAGGATTAATTTTATAATGTATAAATTATGTAATATGTGGCAGAATGAGAGAATGAAGGTAAGGAATTTAATTTAATATCCTGTAATTATCACCGAAATAGAAGCCATCTGTCTTTTTCCAAGAAAGAAGAAAAAAGACATAATCAGAACACAGTGATAACAGCCATACCTGTGAATAATACATTGGACGTCATTGTTCGTAGAACCGCTGTCTGATTGGTTACTTGAGCCACGACAGTTGGTGCAGCAGAAGAGCTTGCTGTCGTATGATTGACTGTTGTTTCAAAAGTACCAATTGGATGGCTAATGTGATTGCTTGAAAGTGTCTGGGCAGATATTGAAGTGCTCTGTGTAGTTTGAGTGGTTATGTAAGACATAGGTGAGGCTGGAATTAATCCACTAGCATTTGACACAGTAGTTGTGTTATTAACAGCTGAACCAGTCAGAGCTTGAATAGCGGGTGTAATAGTGTTTGATGTGGTAGTTGATGTGAGGGGAATTTGTGTTGGTGCACTGAGAGTCACTGAAGGTTTAGAATTTGTTGTAGAGAGTCCTGCAGGATTTGATGTGGTTCTGGCTTGTGTGGTTGAAGCAGAGACTGTGTTTAAGACCTGATTTATATATATATATATATATATACTGTGTGTGTGTGTGTATATATATATATATATATATATATATATATATTATTATTATTATTAAAAATAAAACTGCTCATACCCAAATCTGAATCTCTCCCTCTGTCATATTAGAGCCATTCACCTCCACAAGCATCCAGTAGTATGATGCTGTGACGTAAGAAGAGAGATATTATTACACATCTCCAGGAATCACCACTTTTAATCTAAATGATGTCGTCTGAGAATAAAATAGGCTTTGTCTAAAAATGTTTTCTTTCTTACATTCATTAGCACAGTACTGGGAAAAGTTACACTGTACGGCAAAGGGCTCTGAAACAAATGAAAAGACACATCAAAGCATTGAACCATTAGGATTAATTTTATAATGTATAAATTATGTAATATGTGGCAGAATGAGAGAATGAAGGTAAGGAATTTAATTTAATATCCTGTAATTATCACCGAAATAGAAGCCATCTGTCTTTTTCCAAAAAAAGAAGAAAAAAGACATAATCAGAACGCAATGATAATAGCCGTACCTGTGAATAATGCATTGGACGTCATTGTTCGTAGAACCGCTGTCTGATTGGTTACTTGAGCCACGACAGTTGGTGCAGCAGAAGAGCTTGCTGTCGTATGATTGACTGTTGTTTCAAAAGTACCAATTGGATGGCTAATGTGATTGCTTGAAAGTGTCTGGGCAGATATTGAAGTGCTCTGTGTAGTTTGAGTGGTTATGTAAGACATAGGTGAGGCTGGAATTAATCCACTAGCATTTGACACAGTAGTTGTGTTATTAACAGCTGAACCAGTCAGAGCTTGAATAGCGGGTGTAATAGTGTTTGATGTGGTAGTTGATGTGAGGGGAATTTGTGTTGGTGCACTAAGAGTCATTGAAGGTTCAGAAGTTGTTGTGGCGAGTCCTGCAGGATTTGATGTGGTTCTGGCTTGTGAGGTTGAAGCAGAGGGTGTGTTTACAACCTGACTCGAAGATTGAAAGTTCTGTCCTGTGTGAAAGAAATTAAAAGGAATTAGTTTTGATTGCTGCACCACATAAAATGCAGTTTCACTGCATGCTAAATAAGGCTATAACTTATGCATACAAATTTAAACACTGTAATTTGGAATCTTGAAATTGATTGTTGAAGGTGGTGAGTGTAACAAATCTGAATTTTGAAGACTGTAGCAGTGGTGCATTAACAGGAATCAATTAATGCACATTTCTCTAGTTACTGTATAAAACCCATGCTAAAACCTTCTCAGAGAAGTTTCTAGATTCATCTCCTTTAAAGCATTGCTGCTAAAAATCAACTAGTCAACTATCCTGACCCATTCAACACCAGTACTACACAAAGTAAATGGCTCACTGACTGAAGTTGATTTGGAGCTCTCTACTCCAGCTTTTTTATATTCCACAGCATCTTACATCTGTTTACTGACCTTGTGTGGTGGTTTTCTGTGAACCGGTAATTATTGAAGTCAACATCAAGTAGAGTGGACCTTAGAAAGGCAGAGGGAGGAGGAGACAAAGTGTCATTCATCACTGCACCAAACAAATTCCATGTAAAAATTTTAAATGCAAATAGACACACAAAGTACAATGCTTTGTCTATATGTTGTCGTCTGTATGTCTATATGTAGAGATGGAACACTTACTAGATGTCGAGACAAACTCTCGGGTGCTGGCAGAACCTTGGGATGCTGTAAGTGTATCAAATATTACATTTTAACCTTTAAACCTTAAAATCAAAAATAGCTTGGGTTTCTCACAAACACATTTACACAATTAATTAATTACAGTGAAAGAACAGAACACAGAGTTTACAGAGGCTACAACTTTCAATTCACAGAACTCTAATCTTTCTTGATTAAGATGATATTGATATGCAGATACAGCTGATTTCTACTCAACTACATACATTTTTCACGCAACCCTGTCCAATTTAACTTCAGACAACAA